AGTAGAGCAGGGATTCTACTTTGCTTTGCATGAGAAACACTGATGGCAGAGTAGAAAAGGGGTACAGCAGGTATAGCAAAATTGGAAAAGTGGAGGCACAGTGAGGGCGGTGCAGGAAGTTCTAGTTTTTCGGTAGAACCCATGGTCCCGTTCAAGTCGGAGCGCAACCAGGCTGGGGTTCCGGAGTCAAAAAATCTGGCGTTTTTTTCCAGCACCGGGACGAATCCTTGTTGCTTTTGCATAGGTTTCGTGTCCAACTGCATCCGGGTCTTGTGGCTTCATTGCGCCCATTTCATTGCGGCCATTCAGGGGTCCGACTCCTATATTTCATGGGGGGTGCGGCCAAAGCCTGCTTACCCTCCTGTCCACTGACATGGAACCTGACTGAGGGTCCTGGAAAACTATCGCCCAGGAAAACGGAAACGGGCCCTCTAACAAGAAGAGGGCACCTGCATAAAATGGTCAGTCTCTTGGCTTCTCCTTGAGGGGGCGAGGCCTCTTGGTTTAGGAAAGGCAAATCACAGAAAAGGTTGTAGGCCCGGATGTCATCAAGCCCAGAAGGGTCGTTCTTGGCAATCTAATCTCGATCATTCGCCCACCCGGATCACAAGAAACGGTTGGGTCCCGTACCACTTGTTTAGTGACTTGCCCCACCCCGCGCGGCCGAAAAAAGTGCCTTAGGTTTGATATTTGCAGCCGCTGGGGCGTACGGCGCCACCTTTGTAGGAGCTGGGCGCCGAAAACATAAACAGTGGACCGAAGAATGTGTGGCAACACAAAGGACACAACACACCGAACCCAGCATATGGAGGGTGGGTGGGGTGAGGGCGGGGAAAGAGAGGAGGAGGGAAAAAAAACCAGAGAGTCACAATCGCGAACGTCCCCAACTTTTGCAACAAGGTGAAAATTAGGCATAAAGGCACAAGGCCATTCTTGCTTTCGATGCTTTGGTTTCACACCAGATTGATTGTGCCGACTGGTGGTTTGGCCTAGGTGCAACTCCATTTTGGTTCAACAGTTCAATCCCCAATCCAAGATCCAACTTGAACATGGTTCAGAACACCTGGATTCGCAGTACTTGTTTCTGCAGGTTTGGAACTCAGCCAGTGCATGTTGCGGGTGCACCGGAACAGCAGAACAGCTAGGTTTCCGAGGCAGAGTCCTTTCATGGGCACGTGTCTCGTTTCCGGTGTTACTTTTTTCTCACGTGCCATCCTATGTGACTGTGGCAAGACACTGGAGTCCAGACAGATCCCAGATCTGTGGCCGTCCTTCCCCTCGCGGGAGGTGTTCAAACGCCTTCAACCGACGATTTGTTGGAATCCCATTTTGTCGCATAGGGCTCGACCGCTGGCTTCTTTTTTGTTGGAATTCCATTTTGTCGCATAGGGCTCGACCGCTGGCTTCTTTTTTGTTGGAATCCCATTTTGTCGCATAGGGGTCGACCGCTGGCTTCTTTTTTGTTGGAATCCCATTTTGTCGCATAGGGGTCGACCGCTGGTTTCCTGTTAAGCCATTTTGAAGCAAAGGGGTCGAGCCTTCCAAGACCACCCCGTCTTTCCGCGAGGATTCCGGCGGCTGCTCAAGGCCCGGCCTCTGCTGCTGCAGCTGGTGGCTTGCGGCCCGGCGGCGGCCGGGGCCTCAGAGCCCCCAGAGCTCGGCGCAGCTCTCGGTCGGTGAAGGGTTCGAAGGGCATCCGGTTCCTCAGGTTCTTGGAGTTGTTTTTAGTTGGTTTAGTTGGTTCTTGGTTTAGTTGGTTTAGTTGGAGTTGGTCTAGTTGGTTTAGTTAGTTGGTGTTTAGTTGTTCACTGGGATTGGAAGACATGGCTCTTCTTTTGCTTGGAGCTACCTTTTGCTTCTTGACATGAAGCTTCCTTCAAGCGCAAGTCCCCAATGCTTTGGGAATGGAGCATGAATTGTTGCAGTCTCCAAAGCACCGGGTGAGACACATGCTCAGCTTTCCTTGGAGAAGAGAACTTGGTCCGTTTCTGCAGCAACAGCACCTGGTTTTCCCATTGCTTGGCGGCCTAACTGATCAGATCAAAATCGGGCTGAAGTTGGCTCACTGAGCACCCTCCCAAAATGGTCGGTGGACATGAGTCGCAGTGAATGATATCCACCAAAGGGCTCCAAAAACACAAGCTAGAGGAGTGTTGCCAGGCGGGACGTTTTCTTTTCTCCTGCTTGTCCTTTGATCCCCTGCTGAGTGTTTCTGCGCATTTCAGACCATGTTCTGGAGTATGGATTGACTGGAAATTGAGACATGGGACCATGGGTCATGTTATCAAGGTTTACACTCCAGACTCCAGACTAACATGGAAGCCCCCAGAAGGCCTCTGTAAACAAAACCAAGTGTTCCATGGGGTCCTGGTAGCTTCCAGGTTAGTCTTGGGAAGGGTATAATTTGGTCAGAGCAAGTTGAATTCTCGAATGAGCGAACCTGGCAGAAACTAGGAGCGGTGTGTGGGAACATATTTTCATGTATTCAACGGCGGACATAGCACAGGTGCTTTCTTTTAACATCCTATTCCTCTCAGGGTTCCAAGCTCGGCAAAAGTGGGAGGAGTAGATGCCCTCAGGACAAAGGTCGCAAAGGGCCGTTGCTTTTCACGGTGTTTGTTTGATTGGTCGCTTTTGTTGGGCGATACTGTAAATCACTTCGAATGTCACTTGCTACCATTTGTTGAGAACATGTGATGCTTCTTTTTGCTTTTCACAGGACCCCTGCTCAAGTTGCATCTCATTGCCAATTTATGGCCTTGGGACACATGGCTGTCGACAGACTCACCTTTGTGTCTCTTCTCAGCGCGTGTCTTGGAACTGAAGACTCGCACAGAATACGCGCGCTCAAGCAAAGAAAAACCGCGCCGCAGGCGACGCTCTGCATCGGGGGGCTGCTGATCAGAGCTGCTCTTAGCATTTGCCTCATGCACTAGAGCGTTGGTGGACTTCCCGGCCTTCTCGAGCTTGCAGCCGAAAGGTAAAAGGAGAAAGGAGTGTCGGAAGAGCACGAAGACCTAGTTGTAAAGCAGAAGGTCCACTTGTTCAAGCCACTATTTTGCGGCAGGGTTTGTGAATTCCAGTTTTGTTCTGAAACAGTTTGGGATTTTGTGGGGTTTCCATGGACCAATTGGTGGTCTGGATTGGTGGCCCTTGTTCTGGCAGAGTAAGAGTGTGGCATCAGTCCCTGACCTCGAAACCACTGGCCTCCCAATCATCAAGAGCATCAAGAGGGAAGCTGAATCAGATTCATCACCTTCCCAGTTGGATCGATCCAAGGAGCCTGGTTTGCATCAATCCAAATCAGGATTTGGCGACCGGGGTAGCCAAATCCATTTGTCAAATTTGTCTTCAAAGGAACTGAGCGAGTCACAACGAAAAGCTGGATATTTGGAGAGCAGTGAGGGACAATGCGGATCTCCGCCTTTCCAATTCTTATCCCGTCGTTCTGGGAGCGACCATTTTTCATACCGATCGGTTCTGACTATGAGTCAACCGGGGGGGTTCACCTCCCCGGCTCCAACCCAAACGAAGGGAAGGTCCGATGGCCTGTCGGCCGAGGCCATCGGCTCTTGGGAGATCTGCTGAAGCGCGACGGTGCCAAACCGCCCACCGAACCGAAGCGAACCGAAGCGGGGTCCGCTTTAGGGATGGTTTAAAGGATCAGTGCGCGGGTCTTTTTTTTGTTTTGGCATGGCACACACTCATTTTCAAAAACCCTCAGAAAAAGACGTGGTGCTGCAGTGCTGGAAGTGATTGGAAGCGACTTGACGGGCGCGTTCTGAGCGGCTTGATTCCAGGACAGAAGGCCGACGCACATTTCAAGGGTCTTTTGGTTGGCCACCGGCAATCTTGAGGGAATCCACTGAGGGTGGCAGCGGGGAGAGGGGAGGGGGAGGCACTTTGCCAAGTAGCGCTGCCCAAATTCGCATGTTCGATGTACACAGGTCCTTTCAGTCCCTCATTCAATGCAGACTTCTGATTCCTTGATTTGAAGACCTTGGGGCATCCACATCCGGCACTTTTGAGCAGACCTCGCGCGACTGAATCGGCACTCGGAACCCACGCCGCTTGGCTCAAAAACCGACACCTGCACGGCGCAGCATTCCCATTGCGCGACTGCGTTGCCGCTCTCCGAAGTCTGTGGACTCAGAGACGTGCCTTTTACATATATATATATAATTTCTTTTCTTTTGCTTCCGCTGCTCTCGAATCGCTGGTCCTTTTCGTCTTCTTTGGCCGCCCGGGAGCGATGTTTTTTTTGGTTGGAGGGGGTGAGATACTTTCGGGGGTGAGCGCATTTTCACTGGTTCTGGTGAGCAAAGTCGGGAAATGGGGGTTGTTTCCCTTGTCACCTGCCCATGTGCCCTGCTTTTTTGGGTGAACTAGTGGGAGACATGTCCAGTCGAGACGAGCCGCAAGCTGCGAGGCTTCAGGATGGTGTTCTGCGGAGACCTTTCCATGGAGATCAGCAGTGGACCTGGATGCGCTTGAGTCGTGAGGCTTTCCATTGCCCCCGGATCGAAGTAGAACCCGTCCTTCTTTTTGTTTTTTTGTTTCCCAAAAGGGTCTAAATCCCCAGTAGATGGGGACAACCCCATCTCTCAAAAATCAAAGGGGTTTATGAATCTGGGATTCTCACCAAAACCCCCTGGAGTGCCAGACACCAAATTGCCGCGGAAAATTGCAATCACGACTCCAGGAAGGAACCCTCATGAGTTTGATTCCCCAGTCAGGCCTTTCTGGAGATGGAGAGAATTCCTGGAAGGGAGTGGGCTTCGTATTCCCTCGCTTGCTTGCGCTCGCGGCCAAAAGGCGTGGCTGACATGGGCTCAAGGCAGACAGGAAGAAGCAGCAAGCCATGGCCACGTCAGTTGAGCTTTTGTTGTTTATTGGCAACTGGGCTGCCTTCTGAAAGGATGCCAAGAGATCCCCCCAAAAACTCGAGAAAACCTGAGGGTGCTCTTTGAGAAAGCAACACAACGCAAATATTTCGCTTGGATATCGACCTCCGGACTCAGCCGCTGGGGCGCAAGATCCGATCTCGAGAAACTTTCTCGTCGCATGGGGCGCACTGAGTTGCAGTGCGAATAGTGCCGGCCTCGATGCAGTGGTCCCCAGCAGGTCTCGACACCCACATTGGTCAGCTTCTCCGTTTCTTCGTTACAGTCACTTTCTCTGGGAGTAAAGAGTGTATTCTCCCATCAGGATTCTTCCAAGGATGGTTTCTCCAAATAGAGCTCCCTTTCTTGGGGTTTTGTTCAAAGAGGGGAGGTTTCTTTGCTTCTGGCTGGTTCTTTGATCCCTATGTTGAGAACCACCCCTGTGTTCCTTGCTGTCCGAGGCTTTCATGTCACAACTCCCGGACGATGACCTGCAGCTGCCGAAGTGCCAGCGCTCAGAGACGAGGGTACCGAAGCGCCGGAAGCACAGGTGTCCTTTTGATCGGTGAGCTTGGTTAAAACTCGATTCCATTTACCAGGGGAACCCATCTATTTGTCCAAAAGGCCACCTATGCCTGTATGTTGTCTTTATTGGCTTGGAAGATTTAGAGGATTTTGCTAGTCAGGTGGCAGGGGCGGTCATCAAGCCGTACGGATTGCGACAACCGTTCTAAGGTATCTTAAGGGAGCCAAGACCGAAGCGCACATAAGGAGTCTTGACCAATGGCCAACATGAGGGCTAAAACCATTAAAACCAGGAGCCCTTCTTTGGCACTCGCATGTGCTGCGAGAATAATTTCGGGCTTAACCCATCGAGTCTTTGGTTGGGACAATTGAAAGGCAGATGGAAATGTGGATTATGCCTTCTCTTGGCTTACCAAGCCTCTCGAGCTATTGCCGCACAAATCTCGTACGCCGCTGCTGCACCCCTGGCCAGCGAAGGGGCGGTGAGAGGATCTACTTTCAGACAATCCTTCTCTTAACTCACATAAGGTCTCTTTAAATCGTCAGGGATCCCGAAACGTGGCTGAACAAGAGGGCAATTCCTTCAGTGGTTTCTTTTCTTGGTGTCTGAACGAGGGGACGCCACCCGCAGACCACTAGCCTAATTTTGTCCGCCGTTGGTGAGGGGGGTGGTCCTGATTCTTGTCAGGCAACCTGTTCCTATCAGAGGACACACAACCTGTTCCTATCAGAGGAAACACAACCAGATTGGACACCACTTCTTGTTTCTCGTACGAAGGGTCCCTTATTTGATCGAGAACTTCTCGGGGTGGTTTCAAAAGGAAGCCAACAGGACAACCGAAGCCATCCCCGGATGTTAACCCCTTGTATCCTGTATGGCAGGAAGCCCTTTCACTACTTGAAGGTGCGTTCGGGAACTTAGTTAGTGGCTAGTAAGCCTGGTGAGATAACTCATTGAACGAAGACATAGTTTTACCATGGCTGGTAACTGGGTTATCTCACCATGACGTACCGAATGGATCGCCTCTTTCACAAGGGGAAGCCGGTGACCTCAGGAACGAGTTTACCTACTTAGCCGGAAGCTCCGACCGGCCCTGGGAGCATTTCACCGGCCGGTGGCAGGCGGGGCGTTTGAGGTGGGCAAGCTGTTGCTTGCACTTAGGTAGGGTTTGGAGGGGTATTTTTTTTTTATTTTTCTTTCGCTTTTGGCTTCTTGGCTTCTTGGCTTTTCGGCTTCTTGGCTTCTTGGCTTTTTGGCTTTTCGGCTTCTTGGCTTTTTGGCTTTCTGTTGGTTTGTGCAGCTCTTTTCGCATCCTCTGCATTCCCAATTCCTCTCCGGCAGATAGCGTTTTGGCTTTTGCGGCTTTTCGCTGGTTTCTCTCCGCGCTTTTGGCTGTTGCACCCTTTCATTGGATTTTGGCTTTGGCTTCTCGCATCCTCAGCATCACCAGTTCCTCCCTGTTTGAATCATCACTTCTTCGAACATCAGGGGGGACCCTCCCCCAACCCACCCCGCTATTTTTTAGATTGTTTGCAGAGGACTCCTTTTTGAATCATCATTTTTTCGACCAACAATGAATGCTGGGGATGTTGACGGGCTAGTGTAAAATACGTAAAATACGACATTTTGCTGGCCCGGACAAAAAACGGAGCAAAAAAGGAAAAACAACAACAAAAACACAGAAACAAATAAGAAAACACCCGAAATACATCCGCACCCGTAGAGTTTCCAGCATGTGGGTGTTGGGTCAAAAGGTTCTTTGCATGGATGACCATGGGGGGGGTTGGTGGGTTTCCAGCATGCAGGGGTTGGGTCAAAACTTAACTAGGGGCTGTTAGTCTTTGGTTCCGCGCCCACGGCCATATAGAAACAGACGCAGATCAAGTTTTTGAGTCCAAAAAAGTGAGGCACTCGACTGACTTTTTTATTGGGACAGAATTTGAGTCCAGTTTTTTCTTCAATGCCCAGTGTTGGTTTTTGGCTTTTGATTGGACGGGAGGGGGGTTGCCGGGTTCGAACCCCCGCGCTGTTCGGGGCTCCGGAGTTGAGCAAGCTGCTGCTAGCTGCTGCAAATGGAGCCGTTTTGCAGGCAAAGTTCTGGCGCCTTGGTTTGGCAGGAATGATTTGTATCAAAGTGGGACGGGGCCCGCCGAATTTCTCGCAAGGACCGGGGACACCTTCGCACGTGCACAGGACATGCTCGCGCGTCGGCAACATGGGGTTGCCATGACTTTTACAACTTCCTCATGGGCCAAAAAACATTGAAGTTACTGTTTTGGCTTTGGTTCACTTCCAAGGGGCCAAAGTTTGGTTTCCCTTCTTGAAGTTAACCAAACATTTGCTCCATCGCGGGGGGAGCAGCCGCAAAACCTGGGCTGGGTGCGGATATCCGGCTTGTCAATTCTTATAGCATGGTTCCATTATAATACCAGGTTTTGATTATGACTCATTGTTCACCTAACGGTTGACACATCTTGGGACAACAACACCGGTTCAAAACCTCCATGGTGGTGTCCCGCTTGTGGGGATCGGCGCTTGGGTTGGCGCGAATCGCGAATCGCGAGGCCATCAAGCCTGTGCTGAACGCCATGCTGGCGGGCTGCAGCCAGACCAGGCGCAGCCATTCACGAAGGCCCCCCAAACATTTCAAGTTTGCTTTGGTTTCCCTGTGCAATCATCGGGGGTTCCTGTGTTTCCATGCTTTGAAAACCTTTCTGAGACCAAGTGCAGTGAGTCTCCTTTTGGTGAATGGAGCTCTGTGAATCTCAGAATGGCACCCTCTCCAAAAAGGAGTTTCCAAGAACATCTCCGGCTCCAAAAAAGGCCAAGCAGGAAATGCTCAACATAATGTGTACATTACCGCCCCAAATGATCAGCTCAGACCAGGCTCGGGCAAAGTTTGTCTGAACAACGCGACCCTGGTCGTTGAAGATAAAGCAAAAGGAAACCGTTCCTCCAACTATGGTTCAAACATGTAGAGTTGTCAAAGCCCCCATTCGGTCTCCCGTAACAAAAAAAGGAAGCGCTGAGCGGCATATGTTTTTGATCGCCAGGTTTCTTTTGTGGTTGTTTCAGAATCGCGTCCGACATCATTTGTGTTCACAATGCTTTCGCATTGGTGTTGCCCAACTTATGAAAGTAATATTTTTTGGTTCGTGCACCGTCCGACACGAAATCTCTTGGGTGACGACTGTTGCCTGCGTTGGGGACAAACAGGAGCATGACGAGCTGAGCATGAGCAAATTCACAGGAATTTACACGCAAAAGAGATCTTCAGTCGGTTTCACATGAGGTTGGCCATGACAGAGTCATCTTCCCCTCCGACTTAATTTTGATGATGGCAATCCTTAGGTAAACAATAGTGGTTTCGAGAAACCAACCATTCTTTAAATCTTAGTGGTGGTTTGAACACCCCCCCCCTTAACGTTCAGGGTTTCGTCCCAGCATCACCCTGGGGTTCAAAAAAAACCACCGGAGTCACAATCAAAGCCCGGGTAATTGGAGAGTAGTAAGGGACAATCCCACTGACATTGGGTGCGGATATCCGCCTTGTCAATTCTTATAGCATGGTTCCCGGGTTTTGAGTATGACTCATTGTTCACCTAACGGTTGACACATCTTGGGTGGACAACAAAACCGTTTCAACAAAACCTCCATGGTTTACCTAATTCTAGGGGTTGATTCCCCATTCTTTTCAACCATTTTTTTTTTTTTTTAACCAGCTGTTTCCCCAGGGTTTTGGGTGGTTTTTAGAAAGAAGGATGCCTGGAAAGAATGGAAATGGAAGGTACCCTGAGCAATTGGAATTCACAAACCCTGCCACAAAACAGTGGCGTGAACAAGTGGACATTCTGCTTTACAACTAGGTTTTCAAGCAAGGGTTCAACAAAACCACCATGGTTTACTCTGGGGGCATGACTTTGACGGTTTCTGGGAGTTATCAAAGTCAGAAAATGGGGTTGTTTCCCTTTAAGCCACCACTGAACGGGGGTGACTTTGATCATGGTAAGATCATGAGGCCAGTGTTTAGAAAGGGTTTTGGGTGGTTTTAGAAAGGATGCTTGGAAAGAATGGGGAAGGTACCCCTAGACAGATGGTGGCGGGTGTTTTTTGGCGCTGGGTCCCCCTAGGTGCCCTTTCAATCACCTTTTTCTTTTTTGGTTGGGAGGTTTCAACAAAAACCCTCCATGGTTTTCCTACTGGCCCCTTTTGTCATTTCCCTTTAAGCCACCACTGAACGGGGGTGACTTTGATCATGGTAAAGCAATGAGGCCAGTAAGGGAAGCAATCCAAAAAAAACCCAAGCCATTCCGCCCCCCCCCCTCCCCCCCCGCCCATTTTAAGAGAGACTCATGGAAGGTACCCCTAGAACAGTGGGGGATAATGGGGACCAAAGAATCAAACGCCAAAAAGGTCGACGCAAAAAGAGAGAGGAAAAAGACGAGAAGGCGGAAGGTCCTCCCCTCGACTACCTGGACTAGGTTGATTCCCCATTCTTTTCAACCATCGTTCTTTTGATCATCCCTTTCTTTTTTTGGGTTGGGAGGGTTCAACAAAACCACCATGGTTTACCTACTGGCCCCTGTTGGCGTTTTTTCCACAAGTCCTAGGCCCTTGAGGGTGGTGGACCTTGGCTCGTGCAGCGGCTACTTCGCCTTGAAGGCGGCCTACAGGCGAATCCGAGATCGATGGGAGGTCTCGGCGTTTGGCTTTTGGTGTGGTTCCTTGGTGGTTCCTTCTATTTGTTTTAGTTTTTGTTGGTTTCGGTTGTTTGTGTTTTTGAGTTCTTTGTTCGGTTTTGTTTGGTTTTGTTTTGTTTTTTGGATAGCCAGTTGGCAAAATTGGTGCCTCACGGGTGCGCGCGGGCTCGCTGGGCGCTTTTGGATGCTTGTTGGCAGTTGTCTTGGTTTTTGTTTGTGGTTTGTGGTGCTTGCTTGCTGCTTTTGGTGCTGTGCGGTCGCTTCTGCTTTGGGCGTCCTCTTTGCAACGCTTCGTTTTTTGTGTGTTGTCGGGATTTGCTTTGCATTGGTCACATTTCTACAATGACCCCCGTTTTAACGAGAGAAATGAAGGCACCCCTGAGAGATTGCAGATTTCAGATTTCTTGACGCTTTTCGGGTCAATCTGCTCAAAGAATGAGGTGCAACACACCTGCAGGATGTTGGTATGAATTTGCACACATCACACAACTATTTTCCGCGAATGGTATGGCTCATTAGCTTGCCAATTGTCAATATGGTTAGACAATGGGCGGGAAAGTACGGCGTCTGATTGCGCACCTTGTAGAGTTGTCGAACTTATGGATGAATGCGAACAGTTTGCCCCAAGTGCATATTTTGATCTTGTCAGGCATCCTGAAGCAGATGTCGTGGCGGTTGAAGGCGCGGCCTTGGCTATCCCCAGTGCTTCGCAGGTGTTTGCAAGGGCCAATCGACTTCCCCTGCCAAATTGAACAGACTGTTGCCACCATCTCTGCCATTATTGCAATACCAATGGGGTCATCTGCCAAAATATAAGCAGGCGTTTGTAAATACTAGTAGAACCCTGGTTCGCTGATTCTCCCTTTATATACTATACTAATACGGAATTGTCTAGATTGCCACCAACAAGAAATACCGACATAATCAGATGAGGTAGGGATCGTCACCCCTGAAAGGCAATGTGTGCACGTGGGTGGGGGCACTGGGCCCAAAATGCAGGGGCGGCTTGCTCCAAATTCATGCATGTTCGATCAATGGATCGAGATGCGTCAGTCGATTGACGGCTCAATCAAGCCTGGTGTCTTCGGCTAGGAAGTTTGCACACCTGTGCAGGTTCCATTGGCATCGGCAACGGGACTGCAGGAATGCAAGGTACCGTCCGGCAGATCCTAAGAACGGAGGCCGGGGGTGGGATCACGGGCTCAGTTTGGTGGTGAGCTTTTCAAAGAGCACGGCACGGCTTGGCGAGTTTGGCGCTTTTCTGACTCGCGCGTGTGCCAGGGTCAAAAGAGCCTTTGCTTGGGAGTAATAGTTCTGGTCGTCAGCCTTTTGGTAGGGGATCTAGACCGCCAAAAAGGGGACCATGACCCATACCCGATATTTTGACCTTCGACTCAAGTGAGCGAGCCGGAGCTGGACACGGGCCACCGGTCCAATGCCAGATGCGTGGAAGGATGCCCTCTCAGAATGATAGATCCCGGAACGGGACGGAAGTGATGTTTCGTTCCCCGTATCAGCCGGTGTCTCTAGGCAGCTCAACCGAGCTCGCTAAACTGTTGAGGTCCAGGCATGCTGTCCACCCTCCGCAAAAAACACGGGGGGGGGGGGGGGGGGCATGGACAATTACAGTCTATGTTGCAAACTCAAGCCCAAAAAAGACCTATGAGAAAGGAAGGGGTTGCAAAAGGGAGACCCGAAGTGTCCATCGTACGGGTAGGCGGTGCAGACGCATCTTCGGTGGATTCAGAAGCTGAAACTGGCGAACTGCTTCCTGGCTCCGGAGGCCTCGTACCAGTGAGCGAGCCTTCGTTGCCTTCGTTGGTTGCGTCGATCTTTGTTTTTCTTCTATTTACCTAGAGTTGTTTCTCAAAATAAGAATGGGTTCTCTAGAATGGCAATTGTTTTTTATTGTTTTATTTTTATTTTTTATTTTGCCGGTTTCCCTTCGAATACGAAGCAAAAGCGGGTCTGCCAGTTTGAGAAACTCCCATGCGGATCAATTGGGGGTGTTTCGGATCCCCTGTAAAATGGGAGATTGAATCAATCAACTGGGTTTGTTTGGGTGCCCATTGGCAGAGGCATAAAAAGGTTGCGTTGATTTTCACGTTCCCCAGCTGATTTGAGGATCCCCCTTGTGCACTAGGTGATGCTAGGATTTGTATTTTTTGGGGAAACCGTTATTCCTTTTGCTCAGTGTGATTGTGTCTGCCTTGCAAAGGAGACGCACACCTCCGTGCAAGCCTTCATGGTCGGGGGAAGACAGCTATATAGTGTTGGTCAGTCCCGGCCATAGATATAATAAGGGAATGGTGGACATGAATTCCCACCTAAATGATGTCCGCCGGTCCCTAGTTCATATCCATACAATGATAATGTTAGGTAGTGATGGTGATTTATGTGACTGGGCTCTTGGAGATTAGTGTCCATTTCCAACCGTAGAGGCTGCATGGCTTTGGGTATAGTTCTCGTTAACTTGACAGCTTTCAGTTATTGCGAATGCGTTTGTCCGTACTCTTTAGTCCTCTTTTATTGGGCGAGGAGGGCTTCATTGAAAACCGCCAAAGGGCAACTCTGGAAGGGGAGTGGAGCCAAGCGGTTTGAGACCCCCGATCCGCCGAAGGAACTGCATTTTAAGTCTCCAATTGCAAGCCATCAGTGCAACCCAGAGGTACAAACCAACTGGAGACCGGATCCTTGACAGGTTCACCGCGTCCCAATGGGAGCAAAACACCAGACGGGTTTCCGGTTTCAGGTGTGGGACTACCTGCACATCTGCAATCTGGCGGCTCCGGGCAGGCCTTTCGCCTTTCGGGATGGCCAGCAGCACAAGTCCCTCCGACTGACAGGGGTCTCTGTCCGGTTCCGTGAGGGGTTGGAGGGTACTGCACGTATTGCGGTGGTCCAAGAACAAAATACGGCAGTCGAAGGCCAAGAGCGGATTGCATTCTCAGTTGAGATTGGCGGGGAAGCCTGTTGAACCATTGAGAGAGAAATTGGGATGGATGTGATTGCGACTCGAGGCCGATCTGCGACGTGATGTTCTTGCTCTCCGCCCGCGGCACAGATTTTTAGCCCGATTTTGAGCCTCCTGGTAACCTTTGGCTGTGGCTCTCCTGACTGGCTTTAAGTCAGAATATGTGCCGTGGTCAACACTGTTAAGTTTTTTCCCCAACAGCTGAAAGCTTTGGGGTCTCAGCCCAGATAGGCTCCGGAATGGTCCGGGGCAACCCTGAGGTAAGGTTCCACGAGGGTTCCACCAGGGTTCCACCAGGGTTCCACGAGCTTCTGCAAAGGCTGTGGGGTGGTGCGAGCACTAAAAAGAGAGCACTAAAAAGAGCTCCGCATGCTGTTGGGGATGTCACCCGAGCTTATTTGGGCTTGGGGTAGGCATGGGAACTTTGGTCCCACCTCCATGGCAGAGCTTCCGACGGGAGCCTTCACCATGGCCTTCACTTTGGAGAGTTTCGGTCGTTTGGGCTTTTGGTGGCTTTAAAGGGCAACCAAAAGGAACACTGGTACAAATCCCCAAAGAAGACACACCCTTTTGGTGCCCTTTGATGAGTTGGGGAACTGCCCCCTTTTGAAGGGTTGCTTCTCGATTCTTTTCAGGGGTCTCTTTTTTGAGAAAACCATCAAACCACCCAGGGAAACCGCTGGTTTTCGAAAGAAACAGGTTGAACAGAACGGGGAGTCCCCTGGACCGCCTATTGGAAGGCTTGGCTGTGAGGTGGTGCATCACATCGACAACATCTCTGCCCAGCAGTATGCGAGAGCAGGTCTCTCCAGGCGTGGAGCCGCAACGAGCATACTGCGGATGGAGGAAATCCGTTTCGCGCCACTTTGAAGCCATGGCAAACCATTGTTTGTCGATATCTAGGGGAAAGCCTCATTCCAGTGGTTTCTTAGGTGGTGCAGGATTCCGTCTATCCACAGTATGAATACTGTACATAGAAAAGCAGCGCATGTATGCAATGTACATCCGTTCTGGGGTCTCGGAAGCAGTTGTGAGGATCCGCCGACAGTATGCATTTTCCCGGATGGGGAGTATTTTTTGATAACTTTTGCCACTTGAGGAGTGAGTCTGGAACTGGCAATATTCTTGGCAGTCTGTTGCTAGTAATTAGTCCGGGGAGGGCAGGGCACCGAACCGAAGAGTAGAAACCATTATTTGTCCGCGTCATCTTGCAGAATGGGTCCATCCGATGAGTCTAGCTACAGGAAGATCTGCAAGAAATGAGCGAAATGCCAAGTTAGCCACATATTTGACCCTAGAACCCCCAAGCCAAGCAACAAAGGCGTGAACCAAGGTGGAGTTTGCACCACTCTCCCATTCGTTTTCAACCACTGGGTGTGTGTCTTATAAGGTTGGAACCCCCAACATGCTGGTATGGTTTTCCTTTTGGTTTCCCTTTTATGCCCAACCAAAAAGGAGACCGAGCCTCCAAGAGCGGAGTTTCATCCTGGGAAAGTTCCATGAATGGCTTCGGTTTTGCTCCTGGTTTCCCGTTACCAACCAAAAAGCCGTAACCCCCCCCCCCCCCAAAAAAAAAAAAGGAAAAGGAAAAGAACATAACATCAATCAGAAAAAAAAAAAAAAAACAACAACAACACCCCAAAAATATGGCCCGAAGACACCGTGGGTCTTTTTTCGGCGAAGCAACTGAACTCCAGGGTGCAGGGTGGCATCGAGCTGCTGGCAAAGCTGTTGATGCTGGCGCCCAGGCGGGTGACTCGAGCGAGCCTCGAGCCGGAGTTCGGAGTTTCGGCATGAGCGAAGGCAATGTACGCCCTTTGTCCATGGTTTTTTGAGGGTCCCTGTTTTTGTTTAACCAAAAGGTTTCTTGAGGGGGGCCTGTGTTTTTTTTGATGGTTTTTGAGGGTCGCTGTTGTTGTTTAACCAAACGGTATATTGAGGGGTCCCTGTTTTTCTTTGTTTGAGGGTTGTTGAGGGTCCCTGTTTTTGTTTAGCCAAACGGTTTATTGAGGGGTCCCTGTTTTTTCTTTGTTTGAGGGTTTTTGAGGGTCCCTGTTTTTGTTTAACCAAACGGTATATTGAGGGTTCCCTGTTTTTTCTTTGTTTGAGGGTTTTTGAGGGTCCCTGTTTTTGTTTATACGGTTTGTTGAGGGGTCCCTGTCTTTCTTTGTTTGAGGGTTTTTGAGGGTCCCTGTTTTTGTTTAACCAAACGGTTTATTGAGGGGTCCCTGTTTTTTCTTTGTTTGAGGGTTTTTGAGGGTCCCTGTTTTCGTTTAACCAAACGGTTTATTGAGGGGTCCCTGTTTTTTCTTTGTTTGAGGGTTTTTGAGGGTTCCTGTTTTTGTTTATCCAACACGTTTATTGAGGGGTCCCTGTTTTTTTCTTTTGTTTGAGGGTTTTTGAGGGTCCCTGTATTTGTTTAACAAAAGGACTTTTGAGGGGTCTCTTTGTTTGTGGGTTTTTGAGGGTCCCGTTTTTTGTTTAGCGAAAAGGTTTATTGAGGGGTCTTGTTTTTCTTTGTTTGAGGGTTTTTGAGGGTCCCTGTTTTTGTTTAACCAAAAGGTTTATTGAGGGGTCCCTATTTTTTCTTTGTTTGAGGGATTTTGAGGCTCCCTGTTTTTGTTTAACCAAAAGGTTTATTGAGGGGTCCCTGTTTTTCTTTGTTTGAGGGTTTTTGAGGGTCCCTGTTTTTGTTTAGCCAACCAGTTTATTGAGGCGTCCCTGTTTTTTCTTTGTTTTGGTTTTTGAGGGTCCCTGTTTTTGTCTAACCAAAAGGTTTATTGAGGGTTCCCTGTTTTTTCTTTGTTTGAGGGTTTTTGAGGGTCCCTGTTGTTGTTTAACCAAAAGGTTTATTGAGGGGTCCTCTTTTTTTTTATTAGAGTTTTTGAGGGTCCCTGTTTTTGTTTAACCAAAAGGTGTATTGAGGGGGGCCTTTTTTGTTTTTGAGGGTTTTTGAGGGTCCCTGTTGTTGAACCAAAAGGTTTATTGAGGGGTCCCTGTGTTTTTAATTATAATAGTTGAGGGTCCCTGTTTTTGTTTAACCAAAAGGTTTATTGAGGGGTCCCTGTGTTTTTTGTTTGAGGGTTTTGAGGGTCCCTGTCTTTGTTTAACCAAAATGTTTATTGAGGGGTCCCTGTTTTCTTTGCTTGTGGGTTTTTGAGGGTCCTTTTTTTGTTTAACCAAAAGGTTTATTGAGGGGTCCCTGTTTTCTTTGTTTGAGGGTTTTTGAGGGTCCCTGTTTTTGTTTCAGGCTGGGTCAAGGGTTGCATGAATGAATGAATTGCAAGTTGGTTGGTAGGGGGGAACATGTGCGTTTTGTGAGGGTCCCTGTTTTTTGTTTAAGGTTCTCTTAAGCAAGCCAAAAGGAAACCAAAAGGAAACCGTGGCCGTTTTGGGGGGGCCCCGTTCTCCTTGGTTTTCTTCACTTTGGGGAAGGCATTTTTTGATACATCGGGTTGATCAAGTCTGGGTCAGCACGTGGTGCGTTTGGTCCGTCGTTCCGTCTTCAAATGGTCCCTAGCATAGAAAGCTGACGCAACCAGATCCTGGTGGTACCAGCCATCTGGTTCCAGGAAGGTTGGTTCTGTTTCTAGGGGGAAGTCAGAATCTGCGGCTGTTTCCCTTGACTCCACCATTCTTGGGGCGTGACTTTGATGCCCAAATCCTCGGTTCATTTCGACCGATTTTGATACACTTTTAGCTCGCCAAGACGATTGACACTCACACAAACGCTTGCACGCGCCTTGCCAAGCAAGACTCAAAACGATCGCCCGTGAAATCGCAATGGCACGGCCATACCAACGCGCATATATACAAACCAGAAAACTGCACCTGTGCGGAGCCTGGCAAGATGGTTCATGTTGCAAGTCATACAAATCGCACATTCTGAGCCTTTCCCAACGGCAACGTTCGCCACCTGCAAACGCTGGCTTGTGGACAGATGCGGAAGCTTCCGGCTGCGGAGATGCATCTCGCGAACACATGCTGACCCCCAGCCCTCTTCTAAACACGGGAGCTCTTCTGCAAGGCACGGAAACAAATGCAGACCCATATGGCCTCCACCACTCGACTCGACTCGACTCGACTCGACTCGAGTCGAGTCAACTCTGCTCGCAGGCACTTTGTGGAGCTTCCGCAGCAGCCGTGGCTCAAAGAACTTTTCGCTTCTCGGGCTGCCAGCATAGGTGGTTCTTTTGATCTGCTAGTTTGGTTAGGAACGTAGATGGTGCTGGTTAAGATTGCCTTTATGCCCCACTTACCAAGCAAACCCATCTTTTAGCAACAGGAGATCGATGGCTGCAAGGGTGAGTAAAAGCTGATGAAGCGAACCTCCTACAATATTAGAAAGCGCTGTCCATTTGGGAGAGATATGCGCAAAGGCATCCTACAAGTATATGAATGAAAGGAAACGGCCAAAAGGGAAAGAGGCTTTGAAGGGGCTTTATGTTTTCAACCCGAAAACCTGTCTGCTTGACCCTCTTTTGGAACATTTTGTTCAAGGGTTGGAAAGCAGGCAGTCGGAAAAATGATTGGCTCCGCGTGGCTTAATTCAGTGCGGAGAATTTGGTCGGGCGAGAAACCCATAACAAAGACTATCCCTTGATTCAATGTGTTGAAAAGACGGGCTTGCTTTGGGTTGCCGAGGGTGGTCGGCAACCCTTTAGTTGGGAACTTTAACAACCATCACAAGGGTTGCTACTAGTACTTGGGACATCGCGACCGTGACTCACGTACCACGGCGCATGTGTTTATAAACTGCGACCCAGATGCTCCCACGAATGCCACGCGGAATGGCAGCGTTTCATGGGGGCCTTGATATGTCAAATCTCCGAAGCTTTCCAAATCGCCGGTTTTTGCTTGAAACCTATCCCAGACTCGGGTCCCGAGCAACCGGTGAAAACCACGCCAGAAAGAGCGCTGGTTGCACTGGCTGGCTCGTGGGGCCCTCCAAAATGGCCACGTTATTTTTTTTTTGGTTTCATTAAAAACCCTCAAACAAGCCATTTTGCCTCGGATAGACTGAGATCCCGAATTATCCCCCGTTAGTTACCAAGGGTGCCTTTTTGGTGGGCATTCCTTTCTTCCAGGGAGACTGACAAACCCGGAGGAGTTCGGGTTGGGGGGGGTGTATTAACTCAGGGGTCATGAGGGTTTAAGCTGGGGCCATGGACCCCCACCTTCAAACCCAAAGGCCAAAGGCCAAGACCTGCCCCGCCCCACCCTCCTTCGCGGAAGAAGTTTGTCGCGCCACGCCCTCCTTCGCCCTCGGCCCCCAGGAGGAGTACGGCACGGCGCGGAAGATTTTGGAGGCCGCGGCCAAGGCCACCGGGCGCCAGTGGCTCTTCCGGGGCCTCGGCCTCGGCGTTCGCGTTAAGCGGCGCCTGTTGTGGCGCCGCTTTTGGGCGCTTTCGTTGGGTGTCCATTTTGCAACCTGCGTCGTCTTGTTTCTTTCCCCCCCCCCCCCTCGGCCCCTTTTTGGGGTTGCTTTACAGGAAAACAAGAAAAGCCACCGGGTTGATTTGCATCAGTCTCCCCTTGTAAGAACATTAACCTTGCCGCACCAGGTGCATGCAGCGTCGCTGGGTTTATTCAGTTACTTTGTGCCAGCCTCATACGGCACTAGCTTAGGAGGTCCCTGGAAATCTTGCAAAAGCCAGACAGGTTGCACAAAGTGCTACTTGAGCCGTTTTTGTTTTTCCCCCTCCGAGGTGTCCTGCAGCGTGGCCAGGCATCAAGTCGGTTTATGAGAACAGGAGGGTGTCTTTTTGGACCCCTTTTGCGGATCGTTTTGAAGGGAGTCCAAATTTGCATGTTTTAGGGAGATCTCCGGCATTTTGAGACAAACCCGCAATTTCGGCTGGCCGGTGTCTTGAACAGGGCGACCCTCTCAGATTTAGACACATTCTAAGTGAGCATGTTGGATTCAGGCAAGTCCGGCAAGACCTGCGGGGAGTTTCATTTTTCCAATCTGGGAAACACCAAAAAGGTCAACTGGGAGAAGAACGAAAGAAGAAAGAGCGTCACTCCATGTCCTCCCTGTGCGGACAGTTTGTTTCATCACTTGGACTGCGCTTTTTCGGACGGACGGGCTGGGCCTCGCTGGTCGAAGTTCGGTGAGGTCCGATCTTCACGGCCGAGTGGTTTGGGACTAGAGACCTTTGGGTGCTCGAGGCCCAGGCGGGGTCGAGAACGGTTGATGGAAGGAGGTGCCTGGCGCCAAAATGATGGGAAGGCCCAGTTTCGGGGCCCGGAAAATGGGCGGTGTGGCACTTGTTCTCAGCTTTCCCGCGTTCAAGGGGACAGAGCCATTGGAAGAATCAAATGTGGTTCTTGAGTGTTGGTACATGTTGACCCCATATTAATCAACCAACCTGTTTACCAATTGAAGGGTGGTTCCCCTCCAAAATGTGGTCTGATTCCCCAAACCCGGGCACACTTTGTATTAGTATACTGGTCGGTTGATTAATATGGGGTCAGCATTAGGTCGATATCAGGCTGAATCACCATGAGCCCATCCCCTTGTTCAGTGTCCGTCAAGTGCATACACAAGTTGTTGCTGAGCTTTGGTCGCGTGGTCAGTGCTCAGAGAGATTCGGATTTGTTTGTTCGTCCGTAAAGTGCTCCAAGTGCTTCTTGCAGCGGGCCCCCACCTTTGACGTATGGGTGGCTCGTCTGTTTTTGATGTGAGGCTACTCTTTTTCCCGAAAGCATCGCGAAGGGTTCTTCCGCTGGGTTCACTTGAGTTGTTCTCATGAGAGTCATTACAAGGTGTCATTGCAAGGAATCATCATCATGAAAGTCATTGCAAGGAGTCATTGCAAGGAGTCATTGCAAGGAGTCATTGCAAGGAGTCATTGCAAGGAGTCATTGCAAGGAGTCATTGCAAGGAGTCATTGCAAGGAGTCATTGCAAGGAGTCATTGCAAGGAGTCATTGCAAGGAGTCATTGCAAGGAGTCATTGCAAGGAGTCATTGCAAGGAGTCATTGCAAGGAGTCATTGCAAGGAGTCATTGCAAGGAGTCATTGCAAGGAGTCATTGCAAGGAGTCATTGCAAGGAGTCAAGGAGTCATTGCAAGGAGTCATTGCAAGGAGTCATTGCAAGGAGTCATTGCAAGGAGTCAAGGAGTCATTGCAAGGAGTCATTGCAAGGAGTCATTGCAAGGAGTCATTGCAAGGAGTCATTGCAAGGAGTCATTGCAAGGAGTCATTGCAAGGAGTCATGAGACTCATTGCAAGTTGCAAGGAGCCAAGTGCATGGAGCCAAGTGCAAGTTGCAAGTGCACGGAGTTACCTTGAAGTTGCAAGTGCAAGGAGTCAAGTGCAAGTGCGAAGCGCATGGAGTCAAGTGCAAGTTGCAAGTGCAAGGAGTCAAGTGCAATTGACTTGCGAGAGTTAAAATCTCTTCTTAGGGCGGCGGGGTAGTGCCGACGACACTCTACGAAAATCGACCCTCTGCGGGGATTGGCGTGGTCGAGGTGCAAAAACTCGAGTTTTTGTTTTTTGGCCTTGTTTTGGCCCGCGCGACCCTTTGCGAGGATCGGCGCGGTCGAGGTACAAAACAGGTTTTGTGCGATTTGATTTTGGCCCGCGCGACCCTTTGCGAGGATCGGCGCGGTCGAGGTGCAAAAACTCGAGGTTTTTTGCGATTTTGGTTTGGCCCGCGCGACCCTTTGCGAGGATCGGCGCGGTCGAGGTGCAAAAACTAAGGGTTTTTTGCAATTTTGTTTTGGCTCGCGCAACCCTCTGCGGGGATCGGCGTGGTCGAGGTGCAAAAACTTGAGGTGTTTTGCGGCTTTTGTTGTTCGAGCTGGTCCTCGGGAGGTCTCGTGGTTCGCGCGCCTGCTCCCGGGACCAGTGGTTCGTGGGTTCGATTCTCCCCTGGTCCGCGAGCGGGCTTCGCAAGCTGCACGGAGCAACTTGCATAAAGCAACTTGCGCAGAGCAAGTTGCACAGACCGGTTTGCGCAGAGCAACTTGCGCAGAGCAACTTGCACAGACCAGTTTGCGCAGAGCGCCTTGCAGGGAGCAACTAGCACGGAGTAATTTGAACAGAGCAACTTGCAGGGAGCCACTTGCAGGGACCAACTTGCACGGAGCAACTTGCGCGGAGCAACTTGCACAGAGCATCTTGCACAGGGCAACTTGCGCAGAGCAACTTGCGCAGACTTGCGCAGACCAGTTTGCGCAGAGCACCTTGCCCAGAGCAACTTGCGCAGAGCAACTTGCGCAGAGCAACTCGCACACGCTGCAACTTGCACAGAGCAACTTGCGCAAAGCAACTTGAGCAGAGCAACTTGCGCATGTGCCAGGCCGGGGCTAAAAAAGTTTGCCGCACATTGTGGGGAGTTATGCTTTCAGGCCACTCGTCCTCTAGGAGTTTGACGCAAGGAGTTCTCATCATGAAAGGAGTTGCGGGGAGCTTGGGTTCATCTACGAGATTCCATTCTGTCATATGCTTCTGTGGTCGAGGTGTTGGGTGACAAGGGGCGTATTTACGGGCACGGCGCGCACCGCTGGTTGTCATGTGGCATCTTGCGGATGAGAGTTGGTTCAAGCAGAAGTCCCTACTTGTGGAGCATCCCTACTTGCCCGGGGAGCATTTGCTGCTATTGCGGCGGCGCATGCCTGCACAGAGCACGAGCCCTTGCCATGTCTGCAAAGACTTGGACTCGCGCTTGCAGCCGGACAACACACTAACAATCCAGCCATCGAGGGCATCAGCCTGGATTGCTGCCGTGGCCTCCGCCTTCCGCAGCAAGGTCACGCCGCGCGGGCTGACGCGTGCTTTTCTTTCACTCAATGAGCCAACAGGCCATGAGCCGCCTGGCGCTGTCTCGCGCTTGCTTCACGAATGCTTCGTGTAGGAAAAAAGAACGCGTCCTGCAGCGTTGGGCCGACCTCGCTTGCGATGTTATGCTTTCGGGCCAACCGTGGTCTAGTTTGAGGTTTTTCAGAAGAAAAACCCAACACGAACACCCACGCCGTTTTTCTGGTGTCCAAATCCTACAGCAAGACGCGCGCACATGCTCTCCGAAGCCTTTTAGCTGAGCGCATTCCCGTTCCAGGCACGAAACTTCAAGCAGTTCAACCCATGAAGTTCGTATCTATTTCATGCAGGAGTTCGCATTGCGCGCCATGAAGGAGTCCCGAATGCTCAAGGAAGCATGGTCAACACACTAGAATGCTCCATCAGTTACTTGCGGGGCTATGGGCTTGATTAAAATTAAGACCTGGTTTGCTTGCCTGTAGGGATGGTCATCAACCTCGAGCAAGACTCTGGACCATTTGGAACACAGGTCTTTCTTTCTTCTTTTTTGGAGGAGGGCGGGCGGAGTGGGGGGGTAGGAATTGCATTTCAGAAACTATGCCTTGTATATCGGTTTCGGGCCCAAGCTTCATGACGACTCTTTGATCCCAAGACAGGTCTCGAGCCCCCGTTTTTGTTGTTTTTCTCCGCGGGAGTCCCACATGAGGGCGCATGTTTTGTTGGCAGGTATCCCTTTCCCTCCGGGTGCTAAAGGGAACCAAAAGGACATCCACCCATTTTGGGGCGGTTCAATTGAGCGCCCGAGATACCGATTGCGGATGAACCCCGTTTCTGAACCGGGCAGCAGTTCTTTTTTTGACGGACCCATTTTGAGGAGTTTTACCTCGAAAGGGTTATCCGACTTGGACGGCTCGGACGAACTTTTGCGTTCTGTGTGGAGGCGAAACACAGACCTCTCAGCATGGTAGATCATTGCATATATTCCTATCAACGCAAAAATGCATCAAATCAAAAACAAACATATAACTATATATATATATACATATCCATTGTTGACTCAGACTTCCAGGGGATCTCCCGACGTCCAAGCATGCATGCTTGGGACAGGCTCCGATGCTGGACCTCGACATTCAGTCGGCGCCTGAGACATGCGCCGAAGGGGTTTTCGACACGGCGACTGGCCGTGTCTCAAAATGGGGGAGAAGTTTTGCCTTTTGGGGACTCCAAGAGCAAACCAAACGAGCCACTTGGAGGGCCCTGATGCGAGACTGATTCATTTGACTGGGCGAGTGGTTTGCGACGTCACCCCTGAAGGTTGATTTCATCGGCATCCCTCGTTTTCGGTTGGCGAAGTATAAACAAATGCCCAGAGCACTGCTTGCGAGGTCCTGCCCCTTTCCGCTGCTCTACCGCGGCAATGAGTCAGACGAACCGGACCCAGACGCAGTGGACACAAAGTTTTCCAAGGCTCGGCACGAAAACAAGGAGGACACCAACGTGGGTTTGTCGTTAGGGACCCATGTTTGGAGCGTGGTTGTGCGTTGTGAACACATTTGAAGGTCTTGCCTCGGTACAAAAGCACAAGCCAGACTTGGCTTCCGTTTTTCCATTGCTTGTTTCCTCTTTGACCTTCCTTCCATTTCCTTTTCAACCAGCAACACTTCTAAAATTTTGCAGGGGGTCTTAGTCTGGAAAACGAAGCTGGTGGAAGGCTAGTGTGCCAAAGCAACAGAGACCAACATGAATCTCAAGTTGGATAGGGGTTAGGTAGCCTCCCAACAAACAAATCGAACCAGCACAGGACCCGGCTCCTTTGGACCATTAGCCTTTTTCAGGGGAACATGTCCTCAGGTTCGATTTCTGTGTTTTTGGGAGGCTAAGGCTGTTGCTGCTTTTGGGGCCTGACCCGCCGCGCACTCCGTGGCATTGAGCGAGTCTGCAAAGCAAAAAGGCTAAGGGTTGGGGTGTGGACGAGGGACTCGAACATTACTTGAGCCACAATCAAAACCCGGGTAGATCAATGTTAGTAAGGGGCAGTCCCAGCCAGAAAAAATAGTTGCGGATATCCGCCTTCTTAAGTCTTGAAGCATGGTTCTGGGTAGACCGTCTCAATATCGGGTTTTGATTGTGACTCACTTGTTCATTTTTCTGGGCGACTCGCCAGGGCGACGGCTGGAACTTCCCTGGTGAGGATAACCTGCTGCGCGCCCGGTTGTCGAACAATGGAGTACAAGCTGAGAAATGGGACGCGGACCATCCAACCATGGTTTCCGCTGAATTCCCTATGTTCTCTTTCTTGGTGGTTTGAAACATCAGCTTTGGTGGGGGGTGATGTTTTAAGGGGAATATAGGGAGCCCTATTCCTCTGCGGGAGTCAGGTTCATTCCCAAGACTTTGGGTTTTTCCCTGAGCCCCAGCAAGATGTGATTGGTAAGGATGTTCTCTGTTCCCCAAGCCGCAGGACCATATTGAGCAGGGCCATTCCCTCAAATCATCAGGCCCGGAAGCAAAGTTGACATGAGCAACCGTGTGTTAGGGCCCTTTACGGTTGATCGTTTTGTACTGACACCGTGTGCAGTGGACCCGTGTTTTGATGGGCTCATGTCGCAAATGAACGAATCGGCACATCCCATGAGATAGCCAGTGTGTCATCTTCGTCCTGGTGTGTTCGAATGCCACAAGAGAGCTTTTGGCGACCTGCCTTTTTGGAGCTTTGGTGCTCGTTCTGCCAACAGTTTATCAGGAAGCTTACCGGTTCGGGGGCAAAACGAGCTCACCGGGAAAGATCCTTTACTTGGGGATTCCTTAAATCAGCTTTTGGAATTACTGCCTATTCATCAACCAGGGGTTTATTAATCCGGGGTTAACATTAGTGGTTGGGTCTGGGAAGCTTTCCTCATGTTGGTTTTCAAGTGGTGATCGCCATGGGAATCCAGTGGTAAACAAAGTAGCCTTGGAGCCCGGGTTCCCAGCCATCTTTTTAGGCTTTCGCCTTTTAGATGGTTTGGTGGTGGGCTTTTTCCGCCCCGATTGGTTCGTGACTTTTCGCTTTGATCTGAGGACGGGTTAGACACGGGAACTGTCCGGGGCAACGTCTGTGCTTGAGGCCACTAGACATGAAGTTGGAGGACCTCGAGCTGGCGAGGCATCCGCGAGCGAAGAGGCATGACAAGCTGGCTGTTTGGGCCATTTGTTTTTTCGACCTGTGCTTTTTAGGCCACCTTTCTCTTCGGACAAACTGTTTAGACACCTCATCCCCACCCTATTAGAGGCATGCGTAATTCAGAAAGTTGGGTTTGTAAGCTGTAATCAAAGCGCACCCACACCCTTTCCTTTTGGGGTGCTCTTCGATTCTGAGGCCTTGCAAAAAGCCCCCGACCTGCGTGTGTGGGCGCGAAGAAGCACAGTTCTTCACCTCCAGGGGGCTTTTGAAGCCGCGTGAAGGTTCCTTCCAGTCCTGGAGACTTCCGGCTGCAAATGTCATACCTCCCCTCGTTCATTAGGTGGGTTTCTGGTTGTTTCCTTTGGGGGAGGGGGTCAGGCTTTCTTCTTTGACGCTCGGTGATTTTGTTCGAGTTTGTGTGTCCCATGGGCGATTGTTTTGCGAGCGAACGGCCTCGCGGCTTTGACTTGGGCCAAACGGGGCTCTGGTTTGTCCACAAAATACCGAAGCGAATCGACCGGATCTGACCTTTTAGTTTCCCCGTGGTTGGGCTTGTACAAATCCCAGAACAGCTGATCACCTTTCGCTTGTGATTCCTGTGGACAGGATATATTCCTTGTGTCGTGTGAATGTTGCTCCCGCCGTATTCCTGACTCATTCACAATTAAACAGGCAGTGAAATGCAGGCGATCCCTTCGCCGTCTCGATATCTACTGTAATTCCGGAATCACTGAGAGGATTCTAGCGATCTGTCGCAAACACGCATACAGCCATAGAGGGAGAGGGAGAGAGGAAATCAGCGGATACATTTGCTGGCATGATTTTAAACAGCCGACGTGAGCACTACATATATATATATATATTCTCACGTACACCAAGTCTACATTGGGCAAATGGGTGGCTCGCCGAACTCTGTCAGTTGATACTCCCCTTTGGAACCCAAGCCATGATGTCATTGGGGGAATCGGACGCTTGGAATCGGAGCCCCATTTTTGGGCTCCAAGAAGTATTTTCATATGGGGGTGGTCGTCAAAAATAGGGTAGGCCCAAAATGGGTTTGTCCGGGATGGAAAGGACGAACATCTGCGGTTTTTGTGGTGGTGAATAGTTTTGATCCATACCCATATGGGTTTGTCTTTGATTTGTTGTTGGCAGCCGTTTTTGGTGGTCTCAAAGGGAAACCAAAAGGAGACCTACCATTTGGGGGTTTCCCTGAACAAAATACGAGCCATCCACATTTTTTTTCGCGCCCAAAAATACCGGCGTCCCAAACCGAAAAAGACTCCGAGTTTGGGCGCGCTGACGGATCCGAATCTGGTAGCCGTCCTCATCTCAGCTGATCGGAGCGAGCGGCTCGGGGCTGTCGTTTCGAGAGGGGAATAGTCAAAGTGGAATTGAAGGGCAACCAGAGGGAATCCATTCATCCATCCATCCATCCATCCATCCATCCATCCATCCATCCATCCATCCATCCATCCATCCATCCATCCATCCATCCATCCATCCATCCATCCATTTATCCATCCATGCATAAGTAGACTTCCCGCCAAATATCTTTGCCATTTTAGCCTCATTTCTCATGAAAGGGAAGTAGACTTTGCCATTTTAGGTAGATTTCCCAACTGTTCTTCACACCAAGGGCGTCGCACGCGTTTGTGAAACCGAATGATTTTGCCCAAAGTGGTGGATTTTTTTGCAGCCAGGCGAACCCTTTCTCGAACGGGGTTGGCAAACTCATAAGTCTGACGAATCGAGATTGCCGTTGGAGAATGCTGGGTCCGTCAATGTGAGCAGGTCGAAGGGCTCTCAAAACAACTCTTTGAGGGTTGTTTTCCTTTGAACCTTAAGCTTCAGCTTTGCCTGCTGCCGCAAAAGGCATGGGGGCGCATTGTACTTTAGCTCGTTGACTTAATTGGATCCAGGTCTTGTAAGTGCTGAGAGTATCCTTACCGAGCAATACCATCGGTGGGAGGGTGAGTGAAACCCCCGACGACTCATCGCCGAACCTAAAGTCGTGCTCTTTCAGGGTTCCATGCCCTCAATTGGCGGATGAATGCACTTCTTTGAAGGGTCCCTTGAAAAAGCGCGACATTTCCCGCGCAGGTACGGTGGATGCCCTAAATATTGCAAGTAAGGGAGCAAGGGCGCCAAAAAGCGAATTTGCTGAATTTTTTTAGCAAGGTGTTGTGGTTGAAAATGGTTGGCACTTTTTTTTGGCAATTTTTAGGGCATCCACCGTAGCATCCACTGCTGTGCATGCTCGCCTTTGAACGATCTTGCGACCGTGGGTTTGTGAGCGTTTTTTTATTCTTTCTTTTTTTTTGTCTTCTTTTTTTTCCTACTTTTTTGTTCTCTACTTTTTTCTTCTTCTCATTTTTTTCTCAGTTTTTTTGCGGGTTGGTGTAAGGATGTTGCCTTTGCGAAGCGACATGTTTCTCACGCATTCAGTGAACCGTCGCAATCCGACCCAGGCTGTTGGTAAGTGCA